TTCGCAAATTCAGCTAACATTTTTTTTTTCTGAGAGGCTAACATTTCTATTGGTAACATTGCAATTATTATTTACAAGTACTGTAAATGTTTTCTTTTCTTTCTATTTTTTTCTGGGATATTTTTACTAATTTTAGAAGGGCTAACTTTTAGTTATTTTTTTTATAAAAAAAATTACATTTTTGCGGATTTACTTTTTTGTTTTTTTCCATCGTCATTTTTTTTATTTGATGTTTATACTTATTATTTTATATGTATATTGGTATATATATATATGTATATATATATAATTTTTTTTTTTACAACTTCTGTGTCCTGAAACTGTTTGCTAACAATTATTTTAAAGTCATCTGGACGACTGAGGGAGTGTCGACCCGACCCTGGTGTAGTGCTGTAATCCACCCAGTCTGTCCCTAATGTAGTGGCCATTTGTCTTCTGCTTGTCTTTGACAGTGTGTATCTTTTACTGCCCTCATGGAGGAGTTAGGAATTTCCCTTCAGTGTTACCGGGGAATCCGGACAAGATCCCAACTCCGCGGTGGAGCTACTGCGACCTGCATCTTCTGTCAACCCAAACCTACCACCAAAAGTGAAGGACGGATTCAAGAAGCTAGCACTTAGTGCTGAAAACAAAGATACAGACACACACACGCACCACACACACACACACACACACCTCTGTGTGTGGCCCATTCAATGGTGAAGCTGTTTCCTAATGTTGTAATGTTGTATAGTCCGTTGGCCTTGTGTCAACATTTATTTGTTCAGCAGAAGTGGTGAAGAGGAGTACGAAGGCCGTGTCGACGTCAGATCCACCGCCGTTCCCTCAGTGTTGTACTTCGTTGTTCTAACTGTGTGTAAATGTGACACCACTCCACTGGTTTTAGGAATAAAATGACTTTTGCATTTTTTCACTAATGTTCTGAGCCATTAGTGTGTGAGTGTATGGGTGTGTGTGCACACACATGGAGAGACATGTTTTAGTTTTTTTTTATTTTGGGTTATGGTTAGAATTAGGGTTCGATTAGAGTTTCTTATTTTTTTGTAGCATATAACTGAGTTACACTACTGCCATCTACTGGGCTTTTTATTTTTATTTTGGGTTAGGATTAGAATTAGGGTACGATTAGAGTTTATTATTTTTTTGTAGCATATAATTGAGTTACACTACTGCCATCTACTGGGCTGTTTTTACTATTCAGACTATGTAGGAAAAGTTCAAAAAGTTTGTGTTGGACTCTATTTCTGGATTTAAAAATCTGGTGGGAACTAGACGAGGAGTTCCAACTTGAGGATCACACCTGCTGTTTAATACACTTAAAATGCCAACGTTTCTGGCAGACTCAAGTACAGACAGACACAGACACAGACACACACACGCACACAGACCCAGACATGCACAGCATCTCAAACCCCTGTAATCACACAATATTGCTTTTGCACTGTTGAGAGAACAGACAAATTGAGGAGCAGTGTTTTTTTTTTCTTTTAAATTCTCTAAAGGCCAAAGACCAAATGCAATTTCCTTTTTTTAACTCAGGGAAAAGTTTTTTTTTTTTCCCCAAAGTGTTTGTTGCTGCAGCTTCAGCTGCCTCTTCCCTTCAACAGCGTGTTCTCGAGACTTTTTCTCCCACTTCTATTTATTAATATTAATATTTCTGGACCAATTTTCTACCGTCTGTTCCGAGTTGTTGACATATTTAGTTTATTTTGGCTCAGTAGTAATTATCGTGAGTTGTTGTGTTTTTTTGACATCTGTCTTTTTTTTAACTAAACTTTTACTTTTTGAAAATTCTTTTAGGCATTTTGATTTTACTTTCTGCATTTTTGTTACTTTGTTTTAGTATTTTGTGTTGTATTTGGATATTTGTTAGGCCATCATCTTCTTTAGCCCAGTTCTAATTACTCTGTCACTGCTTTCTATCTTTAGCTAATGTTCAGAAATGTATTTTTTTTCTCTGTCAGTGACATTTTCTTTCTTTCTTTTTTTCACTTTATACTGTAATAATAGGGACAGATTCACAGCAGGTTGATATTTACCTGATGGCAGTGAAAGCAGCACATTGACCTTGGCAGTGTAGGTCGTCTGAGGGTCAAAGGTCATTGTTCTCAGTGCAGATGAAGTCACCGACACAGACGTTAACGGCTCACAGACGCCTGAGCTCCAACCAACACATGACAGTGATTCAACTGCACAGAGAAACAACTGTGTTGATCTGATTTTGTCCACAGTCTTTTTTGTTTTCCAGGAAAGAGACAAAGAAACTCCTTTCATCATCTCATTTGAAGTCGACCTGAGGGTAAAATATTTAATCAGGAAGAAAGAAGACAACGTAAGTCTGCCCCCGTTATACTTCAGTCTCTGTCTCATCTAATCCAGATTCTTTCTTTCTACTCCATCTTCTCACCTTCTGTCTCTGAGTATTTCAGTTTATTAGTCAGGACGTATGAAATACGACATGCTAATATTGTCTACTTCAGGGACGTCCGATATACGACATGCTAATATTGTCTACTTCATTTCTGATTCCAATATCAACCGATACCAATATATACAACAGCCATTTGCCCCCAAAACTCAGGTAAACTTCTCAGGATTCTACAGGCAAATTCTAGCATATTCGGCCAAACTCTGGTTTCATGTTATTAATTTTTTATTATTGGTGGAAAAGCCGATAATGTTTTTTACAGATATTACATCATTCTGCTAACGTTGGGCCGTCAGTGTTAAGGACAGAGCTCCTCACTCTGCTGTGTAAAACACCCAAGGTCAGAGCTGTAATCCCTTCATGGATTAGAAAATGATAAAAAAAAAAATAAAACTGCCTGTGGTTTTGATTAAGAATTATAGTCCCGGGAGATTAGACTCAAACACACAATTCTATTGGACTGAGCTGAATCCAAGCCTTAATCTGAAAACAAAACAAAAAAACAGAAAGAGAAAGAAAAACTCATTAAATGAAAAGATTAAGGAACACTCGGGTCACTTCTCTTATGATGCGCACAAACCTCCATAATTATAATCCACGGAGAGAAATGTCATCGGTGAGATTTGGACTGCAGTCGGTGTTTACTGCTCCTCCCTGTTCGAAATGTCAATGAAGAAGCTGCAGAAAAATGGATCGGAGTTGTTTTGTTTTTATTTTTTAAGTGCTCTGAATTCTGAAGTAATGACTATTGTGGCCACAGAGTGCGTTTCCTAATTTGCAGTTGCGTTTAGACTGAAACATTTGATGGAGTGCATTTTAACATGAACCTTCATGAACTTTCAACAGTTTATTTCAAGAACTGTTTTTTGGAATATTTGCTGCACTCACTTAAAATGCAGTAACAATGATAACAAAAAGAATAACAGTTCGCANTAGATGTTTATTCTGCGGAACCATTAGATCTGTGGTCTTTAAAGATTTATTTAAAGAAATGTTGTTTTCATCTTTGGATAAACTGTTTCCTGCTAATTTGTTAGCATCATCTGGGTTAATTGCTGAGCTAACAGTAGTAGAGATGTGGCTCCTTGTTTTATTAACAACCTTTACCTTAGCATGTTTAGTCAAGTACAGATCTTTAGCCTAGTGACGCAGGTGTTAAAGATGAAACGTTTCTGATTCCTAACTTTCTCCTGGACTTTTTTTTTTTCCACCTCGATGATCCTGAAACAACAGACGCTGAACTTCCTTCATCTGTGGTGAAGCAGTGAAGGAGACAAAAAACAAAACAAAATGGCCTAATCTTTCTGTTTGTGTGTCTGTTAGAAGGTCAGAGATGATGATCCGTACTTGGATGATTATTGGTGCTCAGACGATGAACGGGAGATTGAGAGAACGATCCAGAGCTGCAGAGGCGACGGCTCAAGGAGTCTGCTGTTGATATATGAAACCTGGCTGCAGTGGGCAGCACGTTATCCCCCTGAGTTCACCCAGAGGACGGGTCGGCAAAGAGCTGCGGACGGTAAATATAGAAAAGGACAGATCAGGAGGGATGCAACATGAGGTTCAAGGACCAAACATGGCACTTTTATAGTGTCTTTGTGGTCCCTTTATTTTTTCTTTGTTTTGTAACGGAAATTGAATTATTGTTAATTTTTTTTAAATATATATTTTTTGTAATTTTTAACTGGAGAAATTGCAGCCCCACCTCTAGAGAGTTTACTGTAATTATTTTACTTTTTAATCGTTAGATTTCATCTGCTGTCAATTAATTTTTAGCAAATTTATATACAGTATTTCACCAAGGTTTTTGCTTCAGTTATTTTTTTCTGTGCTTTTTACTTTCAACTTCTTATCTGATTAGTTTATATTCTTGGTTTAATGTAATATTTCAGCCAATTTAATTTGTTTCACTTCATTAGCTTAAAAATGATAAGGATAATAATTATCTTTTTTTTTCTACTCTATGCTTCCTAATTTTAGTATTACATCATTAGCAGGGGAGCACGTGACCTTCTGGCTGTTCGTATAATTTCCATGCAAAGTAAAGGATTCTCTCATTTCCTGCAGATTTTTGTTGAACTTGAACGTGTCTCTCCTCCACCTCCTGTCACCTGTAGATCCCCTCAAACCTGTCAGGTCTGGTTCATGTTCCTTCAGCCGAGGTTGTGAACTGTACATCGTGGAGCAGTGAAATCAAATCTAGACGATGACTGCAGCATGAAGGAGTGGCAGACATTTGACTGTGTCCCATCCATCACAATGAGATGAACACAGTCCCGGCCTGATAAGCCGGGCCCGTGTCAACAGGCCGTCAATGAAGACAAACGAGGAGGGAGGACGAGTCCTGCAAGTCCACAGTCTCATTTATCTTCTCTGTCCCTCTCACTGTGTCTCTTGCCCTAAAGCCCCTGCAGTAAATTACACCGGGGGAATGCTGTCATCTACTGGTGTGCAGGTGAACTGGCCTTATGGCTGTGAAGCCTCAGATCATCGCAGTAAATCACACCAGAAAAAAAAAAAAGCTTTGGCCCCGGGCCCTAATTTATGATGTTTCTATTTCTTTTAAAGCCATCCTCACAGGCTTAAGGTCAGTTTATTATTACGATGATGTTGTTACATAATAAGCAGCTATAAGGCAGATACGAATTTTGATCATAAACATTTGGAACCAGATATAAACGTGATGACAGATCGGAGGACGAGCTGCTGCCTCTTCATTTATTTTCAAAGTTGAGATCACTTTTTATCTTTACGCACTCACAAGGGACAGCCGGAGTTAGATAATAAATAAAAAGTAAATATATTTAAAAATAAAATAGCGAAAAGTAATAACTTATATAGCTTGATCATTCTAAGTTTGTCCCAAATTATAAGTTGAAAAAAAATTGACACAAAAAACATTAAAAGATGAAATTTCAGAAAAAAAATGCTAAGAATTTGACTTAAATATAAAAACGTTAGTGTTTTGCAAAAAAGATTTTTTACATTTTTATATATATATTTTTTACTTTTTGAAAAATTACATTACATTTACATTTGAAAAATGTTTTTTAAAGAGAGAGAGAGAAAAGTACATGAAAGGTAACCAAAAAGATAATCATCAAGTTACAAAGAAAAATTACTCCAATATTACATAAGTTTCTAATAGATGCTACATGTTAGCCCGAAAACAGCTCAAAGTTTATTTTCTCAAAACTTTCCATGTTTGACTTTGACTATTGATGAATAACAGTATAAATCCGATGACATCATCATAATTTATAAAAGAATTCTCTTTTCTTTTTTTTTGGACAGAACCCCCACGTCCTCAGCTCCTCCACGTTCCTTCACTTCTGCAGGAACTATTACGGTCTGAGGAGTTCATTCTCAGCCACTGCCTCATTGCACAGTTATTGCAGCAGAGCCAAACACCGTCCCGGCGGCGTGACCGCGCTGGATGTGCGGGCATTTTTTCGGCCTACAGTCATGTCATCTGAGACATTTAATTGGACTCGGGCCGCTGCGGGGGGTTGGACAGTGGCTGTGTCTGCCCGCTGCGCCCTGTTGTGGCGCTGTTGTGGGGGATAACGCGCAGGCAGACCTGGAGCTGCAGGGCTGCCTCTGACTGACACGGGAGAAGAGGGCGAATTTACTGAGAGAAAAAAAAAAACCTTCTCAGAAGTGACTGATTTCTCTTCCTGGAGTGCACGTGGAGGTCATCGTTTGCACAGGAACGTTTGGCAGCTCCTCTGGACCAGCGCGCGTTGGCGCACGGCGGCTCAGAGACGGTACTGCGCCTTTCTCTTCAACACTGGGCAAACCTGAGGACGCACACTGGCGGTTAGAGATTGACGACCGAAGAGGTTTCTGGTTCTGACCCGCAGGAGCTTCAGGAAGCAGGTACCGTGACGTTTGGGCCCAAATGTGTCCTTTTTAACCTTGTGCGTAAAATAGAACCTAATGCTCCACGTTCCACGTTCCACGCTGTCCCACAGTTGTCACGTGCACTCCATTGTGCTCCTGTCTTAACAAAGGCTTCACCACACTGTATAAAATTTGAGGACAGTTTTTTAAGCATTGACTTCTCCACACACTTTTGAAGATAAAGTAACTTCAACGTGTATATGTGTAATTTTTTAATAAGAAAAAAAAATTACAAATACCTCTAAAATTGCCTTTGTTTTGAACCATAGCACAACGATTTGTGCATTAAAGGTAAAGTTTAGGGTTTATTGTTCAGATCTGACACCTGTTAAAGCATCCTGGTAAAAAAAAACAAAACAAAAACAAATCAGACTTTAGATTTCAACAAAAATAACTAAGGTTAAAAAACAGAGAAAATGTTTATTTTAATTAATCAAAGTGTCTGAATGAATATGTCTTGTTTTTAAATGTTTTTTATTTAAAAGAGGGAAGGAGAGGTCTAGAACTCAAAGAACACTGTCCTCACAGTGACAAATACTGTCATGTTTACAGATGAGCTTCTGTGAAATCCCTCAAACATGGTGCATCAAAACAGATTTTTTTTGGACATTCTTCGAAACCATAGAGAACCACTGTGCATCAAAATGTTTTTGACATTCTTCGAAACCATAGAGAACCACCTCCAAAAACAAAGTGTGGAGATGTTGTCCACAGTGAACATGGTCAAAAGATGATGGAGATGGAGATTGTGTCTGCTGGTACTAGAAGGTCACTGAGGTCAGCTGTGGAAGACAGAGGGGTTTGTGGGAGTTAAAGCAGTCAGATGCTCTGATATAAAAATACAGAGCCCTCTCTCTGAGATCTCCTCCCCTCTGCACCTCCTCCAAGTTCCTGATGTGGTCGCTATACCGGACCACTGTACTTACCACCGTTTACCACCAACGGAACAGTTCCAGTTCCAGTTCCAGCAGGAACCTGTGCCTGTGTTTTCAACTGGAGTTCAAGTTCTGTAAATCAGTCTGATAACATTTGATCACACAATGACTAACATCTCAAACTTTGGCAGTTGTCATTTGACCAATCAAATTGTACCAAAGTGACGGGAGATTCTTATTGGTCCACAGAATGATTGATTGAATGTAAAGTAACAGCCAAAAAAAATTCAAAGAAACTTAACTGAAGAGAAGTAGACAGTGATGATGAATAATTATAATGAATTAATAATTGATAATTGATAACATGGTCATTGTTGGTCTGTGATGATCTCCTGCTGATGGCGCTAACAGCTCTGTTTTGTCTCTGTGGCCTCATATAGGGTTAAATGATCACCTCAACCAGAAGAGTGTCTCCAGATAAATCTGAAGTTAGAATCGCCTTCAGCCTCGATGACACATCAGGTATTATTATTATTATTATTATAATTATTATTATTATTAGTATTATTAATATTAATATTAGTAGTAGTAGTGGATCTGGGCTAAACGATGACAACAAAATAATACAGAATAATCTATGATCACATAATCTGACCCAGATTACACAATCCTTAGGTCTTGGGGTTTTATCTGGACCATACAACATTTTGAACTTTTCATCCGGCCCACATGGGCAGCGGTTTGACAGTATTGTGTCATTTTACACTCAGGCCACTTCAGGCTTGCAGTGCTGCCTTATTTCCAAACGCGGCCCACATCTGTTGTTGTTGTTGTTAGCGTTAGCGTTAGCCCTGCCTGTCACTGAGCTAATGGTTTACCGTCAGTCCGTACCTGAAGCTGGACTTTTACAGCAGTTCCCGTATCTGTGGAACACATGCAGCACATTCTTCCCACTAAAACAGACCAGCACATCCTCACCCTCCTCACCCTCCTCACCCTCCTCACGCTCCTCACACCCTATCACTTGAACTGTGTTGTGCTCAGACAAGGACAGGTGCTCCTTTCTATTTCTGTTGAACTCCATCATATTAAAAACAAACCACACACACACACAGCTGTGTTCGCTGAAAATGAGTTTTTATTTGTTAAATATAAACTTATTAAAATAAATATATGTTTCGCTAACATCTAGCACATTCATGTAGTTTTTAAAATATATATTAATGTTAACAAACATCAATCTGGTAAACATTTCTGTCTCATGTTTCCGCTCAGTTCTTCAGCTAACCTTTAGCTACTCTGCTAACCTTTATCTGCTAACATTTATATTCAGTTGACTGTCTCATAAAAAGCATTTGTTTTTATAAGTATTTTTTGAGTTATTTTGGTTGTTTTATTTTATATTTTCTAACTTATTTGACTTTTAGGTAATTCTTTTAGGTTGCTTTTATTGAATATATTTTTCCTCATTTTCATTTTGGATATTTCACTATTTGTCAACTTTTGCCTCTTTTTTCCTTCAACGATCTACAGTACCATACACGCTACATATTTTAAGCTAAATTTGGGTTGTGTTTGGCCAGCGTTTGGCTCCAGCAGTTGTTTATCTGCTATTTTCTTTTTACATTTTGTCTAATACCTGACTTGGCGTTTGGCTCCAGCAGTTGTTTATCTTTTTACATTTTGTCTAATACCTGATCATCTTTGCAATGTTTTTGAAGCAACTTTATTAAATCCTGTCCTCACAGGAAATGTGGAAATGTCCATGGTCAGGTGAGGATTTTAGGTCCTAAATGTCCAAGAACAGCTGAAACAGTTGCTGCCTGAGCATCGACGTTTGTTCTGCACAAAATAAATGTGTAAAAATGCAGAGCATTTGTATTCCACTTAATTATAGTCTTAAGTATCACCGGAGGGGCAGTTGACCCTGGGGTATTTTTACCTCATTGAACTGGTGCTTTTACACCCCCCACTGTACTGTAAGGCTCACCAATTTAATGCAGGGATAAATGAAATCTTCACAATATGTAAAAAAGACGAACATCAATAAAACCATCAACCAAACAGACAAAAAGCAGCCAATCAAAAGCAGGATTATGTGGTTGCCTGTTTTTAACCGTGGTCTCTCGGCCCCCCCATCCTCAGAGAAAGAGGGGATCAGTGGTGGGTGGGGCCGGACTTGAAGCGTTAACTGCCTGTAAATATAGTCTAGTGTTCTAAAAGCTGCAGAGTGAATCAGGCTGCAGGACACTGTTAGTATTAGAGAGGAAACCTGACGCTGCCATTGCCCGGCTGCAGCTGCCGTTCCAGGCTCTGGCCTCACAGCAGTAAAACATCCTGACAGACAGCATCTACAGTATACAATCATAGGTACCTCACATGCTGGGCAAGGGGGCGCAGACAGATCTTAGTGGGAGGGGGAGTGAGTCCAACCTGTGGGCCAACTACTGCTCATCCTGTAATACATGGGCTTTAATCAACAGTTGTAGTGCATTAAACATTAGTTTGTTTCAAAAAATTCCATTAATTTCAGAAAAACACAGGGACAATTAGTTTCAACAAGATGCAAAAAGTTAGCAACTATTGTAAAAATCATTTCCTCTTTGCTAACTTTTTGCAAAAATTGCAAAAAGTTAGCAACTATTGTAAAAAAAAGCTACATTTTAATAATTATTTATAGCCCCAAAATAGGGAAAAGTAAAATATCCAAAACATACAAATCAGATAATACAGTTACTAAAAGACACCTGCGTAATTTACCTCTTAGGTTTTAAAACTTAAAATAAATTTAAAAAGCAAAAATAAAATAGCTAAAATATAGCTAAAATTAATGAGCAAAAATGAGAAAAAAAAATGAAAAATGCTTACTAAAATTAAAATTAAAAAAGTAGAGAGAAAAAGTATTTTAATTAAAAAATTTAAATAGTAATGATTACAATTTTTGCTGAATTTATGATTTTTTATTATTTGAAATTAAAAACAGACTAGCGGAGTACTGTCAGTTGCCACTAAGCTAGCTAAAGCCGCAAAGCTAGCCGGGGACCCAAACAAAACCCAGATGGAACCTAAACATGCTCAGCTGACTAAAAATAGATAACTAATAGTTAGCACAGAAATAGCGAGAAGGTAACCAAATGTGTTTTTGAATCAATACAAATGAACGTTAGACAAAAATTGAAAAAAAAAAAAGAAATCCATGCCTTGTTTTTGATGTTAGCATTAGTGCTAAAGCTCAACAGATACTTTGAAATTCCCCTCTCTGTGCAGAGTAGGAGGGGGTTTCGGGGGGGGGGGTGCACTGAGACCCTGTGAGGATGATCCTGTAGGATCTTCATGCCTTAGTGTCAGTCAGACTGTAGATGTGAACGCTGCCGTGAGTCGGTGCGGAGGCCGAGGACTGTATTTATCCCACATGATAATTGGCCCCGGGGCAACATGCTGTCCCTCCAATACTGCTGATTTTAGAAGGTTGCATCATCCCTGGATTCTCCACATGTGTTCCACCTCCTGCGGGAGGGGCCGATGAGGGGTGGGGGCACGGGGGCATTACTGGCGAGGCAGAGGCTTGTGCAGACAACCGGTCTGTTTTTATCCGTGTGTGTGTGTGTGACTTCACTCTCTGACCCGTGCGCTTGTCTGTCCCTCTGACCCTCTGTGTGTCTCCGTCCCCCGCATGTCTTTCACGGCCTCGGCTCATTACTGCTGTCCACCAGGGGGCTGCGGCTCATTCGTGAGTGCAGGGTTTGTGTGTTGTTATGTTGTGGTTTCACAGACGACCAGACTATAATGTTTCATTTTGGGCCGTTTTATGAGGTCATTAAAGGGAAGTGTCCACGGAAGAAGGCAAATGACCCTCGGAGGGCAGGAAGGCCAACAATAAAAATGTTTCCAAACTTTACAAGATTACCAGTTTGGATACACTTGAGTACCTCTACTGCAGTACACAGCCTTTGTTCTTCGCTCTGGGGATGTTGTTCTTTGTGTTCTACGCCTCTCCGTTCCTTCCCTGTAACGTAAACAGAGTTTATGTTTGGCCGGAGACGTTATATTGTGTCTCATCTGATCGTCCAGACTGTGTCAACCTTCTCTAACTGTCTCTGTCCAGGACACACGGCACGTTGTCTTTTTTTAAAAACTTTTTGAACCGTTCTCAGACGTTCACTCCTGTCTCAGTTTTCCAATCAGAGCTCTCGTATTCTGTAGTTTTATTTATTTTTAAAACCTAATAATAAAATAATAAGATAATAATATATATAAAAGTTAATAACAACTTGGAAAATAAATTGTCTGCTGAATGCTTTAAACCACGTTTTTTTTTTGTCAGAAATTTAGGTTTTTAAATTCTTGCTGTTTGATGGACATGATCCTGTGTGGAAAAAAAATCTACTTATTTATAAAAGTACTTTGAAAATACCTTTAAAAAGTAATGTTTTTAAAGTGGGCTAATAATGTGGTATTTATAGCCCAACAGGATTTGTTTCAATATATTTAGTGACTTTATAGCAAGAATTATCTTTATATTTCTATATATGCTTTCTATATAAGTTTTGTTTTATTAAATATACTTATTTTTCTCTATTTTAATTTTCGATTTTTTTGCCCTGTTTTTTTCTTCTCATGTAATAAACGACATCTTTGTTTTGTTTTTCCCCACAGATGTAAAAGATGTGAAGGACCTCACACAGACCTTCCCAGACCTTGAGCAACGATTACAGGTATTCAGTACCACACAGTATCTGTTACTGTTACAGTAATACAGTACACTTGACGTAGATGTCAGTTCCACTGTTGGTTATCGGAATTATGGCCGCGATGGAAGAGAGCTGACAGAGGCCCCCTGGTGTCAGCGTGGTGACATAACGTCGGGGATTGAAGTGAATGACAGAAACGTAACTGTATAAAAAATAAATGAAAGCGAAAGAGATTAACAATGGAATAAATAAAGGCCACATCAAAGGGTGATTTTATAGAGAGCGTCTGCGCTTCATTCAGAGCTGAGTCGCTAAATAAGGAGAAGCTTAAGTTTAGTTGATCCTGGCTATAAATCAATGTCTTCACTGTGTGTGTGTGTGTGTGTGTGTCCGTCCATGTGCTGTCATTGAATTATCCTTCAGCCAGTGCCAGTTCCAGGGTCATGCCAAGTGCATGCAGTGGCAGAGTATCAGATGAGGACAGTAGTGAGAGATGGCAGAAATAAAACATAATAAAATCACTGCACAAAAACAGAGAAGAAAAAATATTATTCACTAATATTTACCTTGTTCTTCAGACAGATTTAATTTTTTTTTTTTTACTATTGTTAAATATAAGCCTCAGCTCATGATACATTTTGTTAATGTGGATAAATTAACATCTTGTCTTCATTAAAAACAACAACAAAACTGAAGACAAAGAGGAAATGATTGTTTAGGGTGTTTATAAAATAAATAGTAAAAAATGTCATTACAAAGTAATGAGAACACCAGGCCTCATGGGGGTGAGGGTGGGGGTGAGGGTAGTGGGTGGGGGTTATCACTTTAACATTTTGATTGTCTTCCAAAATGGCTTAGAGCTATGTTTGGCTACAGCTAAATTAGCTAATGACTGCTAATAAATACGGAATTATCGCCGTCACATTTAATCTACTTTTCTCCACAGCTGTCGCTGCACTGTCTGTGTTTTATATTTATATTCCACGATCGTTACCTGTTGTATTATACTCATTGATTAAACTTCAAGTTCCTGCTGGGTTTGTGACAGTGTTCGTAAAGAAAGAGTATGGTTATTTGCCCTGCAGGGGGTGCTATGTACACAGTTTCGGTAAGCCTCCTCCAATCCAGAACAAGAACGCATTTATACATTACACCAACAGTCAGACGATTAAAGACAGTCAAAAAGTTCTAACACAAACTAAAAAAAAAAAATTAATAAAAAAATTTCAAAACTATTTCTCTAATTGGAACTTCATCAGGCCTTTCGCAAAGCTTCTAAAAAATTTTTAATTTTTTTTTAATGTCTCCTTGTTCACTCTGCCTCTCTCTGACCGTCCGCAGCCGGTTCTGCCCTGTGTCTCTCTTAAAGAGAGCGTCCAGGTGTATAAGGAGCACTGCAGGATGGCCAAGGAGTTCCACCAGGTCAAACATGAGATCTCTGTGCTAGAAGACCACAAGTAAGTTGACGAGACGTAGACCCACGACCTCAGTGACCTTTGGTCGTTGTGTAAACGTTGTTGTTTCTTTTCTTCACAAACTGTGGCCTTAGTGGAAGTTAAGAAAACAAAACACAAACACAAGACCGCACACACACACACACACCTATGGTCTCAGTGAGGCTGGCGGCCCTCCAGTGTTTATGGCCAGTGATGGCATGTCATTAGAACAATCTGACACACTGTCATTAACTTATTTTTAGCTGTTTCAGCTGCACTGACATGAAGATTATTCAGGGAATCTGAAGGACATTCGACCTGATAAAGATGGATGGTGTTTATTTTCAAAGGTGATTAAAATTCTAACATGTATTTTAACTAGTTTTAAATTCGGAAATGTGTTGAACTACAATTGTCCACCAGGTGGCGCATGATAACAGTCAACGTTACAGAGGTGGCCTCTCTCTATTAAAATTACTTCTTTTTATTTTTAAATTACTTTTATTTTGACTCGGTCCAGTTTTAGTTCAGGTCTTTTTCCTACTGCTTTTCAGTTTAGTTAAACGCCCAGCATGTGGTGCAGAAGTACATTCTTTGTGATTAAAACAAAAAGTAATAAGTCACAAAAGGTATATTTATTCTGGCCTCGCAAAAAACATCACACAACAATATTAGATAAGTTCAAAAATTATTGTTATTATTATAATTATTGTTATTATTATAATTATTGTAGTCATAAATAAAGCCCCAACATTGTCACTGTGCTGCAGCGACACCTGCTGTAAGCTCAAATAAACGCACTGACTGTGATGCACTTAAGGTGTGAGAGAGAGAGAGAGAGTGGTAGGGTAACAGCAAAAGACCTTGACAATCCCACTGCTCAGACTGTCCACAGCTGCTGAGGACATAGTGGACACAATGTCACACACACACGTACACACACGTACACACACAGTCGTATTGCAAATAGAACATAGCAAGTGTTGAGATAAAAGTTGATGAGTCAGGTCTGCACAGACGACAGTTCAGGCGTTGAAACAGAAACCTGAGAAACGATTAGACTCCGTTTGTAGCTGAAAGGGTGGAATTTGGACTTTTAGCCTGTGAGTAACGAGGAGGGGGAGGAGGGGGAGGAGGGGGAGTGGGGTTGGGTTTAACACATCTCCATGTCAATTATGTGTTGTTTTTTTTTTGTTTACCGGTCGTCACTAAGTGGTGATTCAACAGTTACAGAAACAAGGATGATGTAATCACAGTTTTACTTCCTTTTCTGTGTGACAGGCCAAAGTCAAGTTCAACACCTAAGTCAAGTTTATACATGTAGATATATATATATATATATATATATATATAATGTATAGTATATAATGTATCGTACCACAGCATAGCATAGGATCTTCGATCTCACAGGAGATATGGAAATTGTCTACTAAAGTATTGCAAAACTCATGCACAGCATGATAAAGTGTACTATTACAATGTGTCTGAGGGCAATGTAGTGCATTGTAGCGTAGCGTAGCGTAGCGTAGCATAGCATTTTACAGAACAGTACAGTACTGTATAGTGTTGTTCTGTATTTGATTATTTAAGTTTATGTTACATTTGGTGGTTTGCTGGTTAAGGAGGTGGACGTGGGTCCTCAAGGTTTCAGGTTCGAGTCCACCAGCTGATCTTCGATCTCGCAGGAGATATGGAAATTGTCTACTAAAGTATTGCAAAACTTATGCACAGCATGATAAAGTGTACTATTACAATTGTACTATTGCATTGTAGCGTAGCGTAGCATAGCATTTTACAGAACAGTACAGTACTGTATCGTGTTGTTCTGTATTTGATTATTTAAGTTTATGTTACATTTGGTGGTTTGCTGGTTAAGGAGGAGGACGTGGGTCCTCAAGGTTTCAGGTTCGAGTCCACCAGCTGCCAAGATACCACTGAGTGTCCCCACACCCTGCTGCCCGGGTGCTTGTGCTGCCCCCTGCTGACGTTGGTGATGGGTTAAAAGCAGAGGTCACATTTGGTTAATTCACTTTCCTTCCTTCCTTTTCCCCAACATTTCCAAAGGGCTCACTCGGTCACAGTGACTGTTTATCAGTAAAACCGAGTCGATTCCATATCTGCAGTAACTCAGTCTAATCACACAACGGGGAATTTATCGCCTTTGATTATGGTCTTTTACGAAGTTGTGACTTTATTATTTCTTTTCATCAACTCTCTGCTCTCAGGTTCGTGACCTGCCAGCTGGACGCTTTATACTTTTATGACTTCTACTCTTAAATATTTTTATTAGGCAATAAAGTACATTTACGATCCTTTATTATCCGATTAAATCACATGTAGTAACAGAGATCCTTCACTTTTTCACCGAGTTCTGATGCAGGACATCGCAGCTATTAATAGGATAAACCCTCAGCACCAAACGAAGACTCTGAATAAGCTGCGTTGTCACGAATGTTGAACTGAAATAATCTAAATATGTTCAATTCTTCACAGAGTAACAACAGCTGTGTTTCCCAGCATCGCAGTTTCACTGCGTTCCAGTAACATTACATTGTTTCCATTGTTCTTTAAGTTTGAAGGAGTTCATCTGAACAGACAAAAAATCAGAGTAAAGGATGTCTGAAAACATAGGATAAAACTGGGAACCTGTCAAATTTACTGCTTTCTATTATTTATTGATTTTTTAATTTATTGATTAATTGGTTGGAAAGCAATTGGCTTTTAGGCAGAACTGGGCATAAATGGTATTGATTGCAAAGCACAACTGCAAAACATGCCACAAAGATTTCATAATTTGTAAAATACCTAAAAATTACACACATTATTATTACAGTGTGTTTAAAGAAACAAAGTTAACGTAAGATAAGTAAGATAATAAAAGTCGAGACCAGAATTGGCTGGAATAAGATAAAAACGAATACAAAAACTGAAAATGAACGTGAAATTTGATACACTTTAACAGATCAACATTGTTGTGCTGACGTATTAGAGCAAAAATATCTAAATCTAGCATAAAATAATTGAAAACTAAACCCACACATTCATGTTTTTTGACATTGTAAAGCTCGACACCCTAAACTGAAACTGTTTTATTTTTTCTGTAGGCGTAAACTGTTGGCAGAGCTGGTGGAAGACGAGAAGGTCGGCGCAGAGATTGCTCGTCTAAAAGAAGAGTTTCGGCGTCTAACGGAGGAGAACCGCAACCTGGTGACTGTTCACAACGAGCGCGCCCAGCAGCTAGAGAGCCTCTGCAGGAGCAATGGCACCACCCAGGACTCCTCGTGACCCCTGAACCTCCACTGAACCTCCTGAGACCCACAGGACTCTAACTCCAGGCCAGACAGTTTTAATGCTTCTTTTAGACAAAACCAGTCTGTGAATCAGCTAAAAACACAGGCGGCAGTAGCGTTTATTCATGTCTGACTCATTCAAACCACAGACGTTCTGTCATCGTCGGCGTGAACGTTTATACACAGCCGTGCCAGTAGCTTTTGTTTTGTCGCAGAACCATTCTGGTCACTTTTCTAATCTATCTTTACCATCGACTCTCGCGTTAGCAGCTGTAAATGTGAGCCGACATCTGTCTCACGTCCTGTGGAGACTCGTATCCGTAAAGTGAGGTCTGTGGGGGGAGCTACAGGTCGAGAAGATGTGGTCCAAATATTGTATTTTGAACAAATTGAGTCACAAACTTTACAGTACAAACTTTATTCACGGGAGAGTTGATACACGTTCTTTAAACGCAATAAAGACCAGAATCTGTAATTTAACGATTATTAAATTATGGGCGGGACAGTTTCAGTAGGAGACAGATCTGGACTGCAGGCAGGCCAGTCAAGCCAACACGCAACGTAACCTAAATGAGTCGTGACATTGTCCTGCGGAAGAATCCCAGTACGCAGTAGGCCGCTGTATCAACATGGCATCTTTGTAGTTCAATAGATGTGCTGTGTTGTACTGAGAAACATTTCGTTAAACGTTTTTTTATGTAAAAACCCGTCTTGCTAGCAAAGAACAAGCCCGACGTTGAAGCTCCTTTTATACTTTGTCTTGACACCAAAACACCAGAATGTCTCCATCTGCCTTTGCCTCCTTCACGTCCAACTTCTTTGAATGCTGTTGCTCCCATTCTATTGAAAAATCAGATTCTTTTTTAACTCTAACAGTTACATCTTTTCAGTCACACCGGGTTCCGAGTGAATCAGCCAAGTAGAGATTTGAGCTTTTATTGCAAAAGAAGGAAGTGTACCAATTCTTTAGAATAAGGTGCTTTGTACTTTCCCGTCAGGGTCCCTCTGCAGTAGAAGGGAGAAGTAACGAGTGTTGACCACAGGTCTGAGGGATTAGGAGAACTGCAGTTGTACACGACACTGATACTTTTCGAAAAAAAAAGGTTGTACATTTTTTAACGTAGCCTGTTGAAGCGTAACCTGTAGAAGAGGAAGTACAGTGTATAACATGTTAAACTGACACTTGTGTTCCTCACGTAATAAAAATGAAAACAAATGCCTTTTATTGTAAATTTGGCTTCAGTTCTGTTCTTTGGTATCATTTCCTCTTATCTCATTCACTGCCGTGTTTGTATGAGCCAGTGTTTCTTACATAGAAAACAGAACTAGATGTGTCTGTTAGCTTAGGGTTAGCAATTACAAGTACAAAGCAACAAATATCCAAAAGTTTACAGTGTTTTTTCTGCAACCAAATGACACTGAGTTGGACAGAATTACTGCAGTAGAAGTTACCAGTGTTTACTATGCAGTGCAATATGCATATTCATATCGATCAACCGATTGCAGAAAATCTTAAATCTAAAGAGAGGTCCAGGGCTGTATTGGACATTGCTGTATAGAGTTCTACAACCATACAATATACTGTATATATTTATTGCCAACGAATCTGTTTGGTGGAGTATTTTTTCTTTTCATGTTTTCGTTACAGATCACCAATTCAGATGAGTTGTTGGTTTTACAGGCCAGACACCTGTAAACTTTTATTTTTGAAGACTTTTTCTTGAAATTATTAGTATAGTATTTTACTGT